ACTTTTATTTAATGAGGTGTTTTCAGTGACATAGAGGTTTTATTTGTGGAAAACATCCTTGAAAAGACAGCACAGGTGTGAGAAAAGGTCACTGTGGTCAGACTGAGCAGGTGAGCTAAGAAGGGAATCAGGGATGATAGTGACAGTCTCAGTGAAGATGGCTTTGAGGTTGTGATTTGCCAGCATTACATATTCCTCATGTGTATTTTTCCCTCTCAGAACCCTCAACCATTATCAGAATAAGGTGGACCTACAGCTGTCTGTCTCTATTGTAAACCAAGGCCTGTGGTCTCAGATACAAGCTAAATGTGTTTCACCTGAGATTAATTTTAACTTTGGCAATACAACTTGATCTTCTTGAATTTCTTCCATGTGGCAGCTTTGTCGTTATAACATTTAAACAAAGCTTCCTGATTGACCTGTTGTGTTGTGCTGGAACGGGCCAGATTCAGGTTTGTTTGTATAATGAGCTACAGCTAAACACACTGCAGACACAGCTAAAGAGTGTCGGAGAGCAATACGACCACGGAGGGTGCTTCATGATGATGAAGATGGAGGATGTATGTTACACTCTGAAGGAAGCCGGCGCTCATCCAGGTGCATGTTGAGGTTTATTGCTCTGAAAGCAGTTCTGTGTCACTGACAGCTTCCATTACAATGACTGGCCTGCATTACTTTTGTAAGGGATTATGTGTAATGGCCCTTTAGTAATCAGCCCTTAGTAAACAGAGTAACTGACAATAAACAATTCGCAATATAAGATATACCGGTTGGTTTACCAAAACATTTCTAGTAACTTTAACTGAACCCAGTGAAATATTAATCTTATTTCTGATGGAACAATGTTGTTACAAAGTCTAATGTAGAGACTAGCATTATTAAGTTAGCACACCCATGTTACGCATCATTATAACTTGAATTAACTTTCGTATTGGGTCACATTAAACGGCTTATAAACAGGAAGTGCACTGCAGCACGTTACTTTAAATAAGTATCAACTTTACATAAATGTATATAGTTCTCATATACTGATCTCACCTGACACACAGCAAAACAGCAGTTCTGTGTTACTGACGGCTTCCATTACAATGACTGGCCTTAATTACATTTGTAAGGGATTACTTTGCCAGTCACTCATTTGTCTGTGCCGCCACTGCCACCTACTGGCGAAACTTAATATCACCCTAACACCACATCAGATGGGAGCAAATTTCGTTCTGTTCAATGATGTACACCAGGGGTAGGCAACTCCAGGCCTCGAGTGCCGGTATCCTGCAGGTTTTAGATCTCACCCTGGGTCAACACACCTGAATCAAATGATAAGTTCATTACC